CCAAAGTGTGGAAAGAGCCAAGATGCCCATCGACAGATGAATGGATAAAGAAGTGGTGGTATATATATACAATGGAATATTATGCAGTCATCAAAAGGAATGAGATCTTGCCATTTGCAATGACGTGGATGGAACTGGAGGGTGTAATGCTGAGTGAAATAAGTCAATCAGAGAAAGACATGTATCATATGACCTCACTGATAGGAGGAATTCTTAATCTCAGAAAACAAACTGAGGGTTGCTGGAGTGGTGGGGGGTGGGAGGGATGGCTGATAGACGTTGGGGAGGGTATGTGGTATGGCGAGTGCTGTGAATTGTGCAAGACTGTTGAATCACAGATCTGTACCCCGGAAACAAATAATACAGTATATGTTTAAAAAAAAAAGAAGAAGAAGAAGAAGATATCAGGAGGGGAAGGATGAAGGTGGGAAATTGGAGGGGGAGATGAACCATGAGAGATGATGGACTCTGAAAAACAAATTGAGGGTCTAGAGGGGAGGGGGTGGGAGGATGGGTTAGCCTGGTGATGGGTATTAAATAGGGCACATACAGCATGGAGCACTGGGTGTTATACACAAACAATGAATCATGGAACACTACTTAAAAAACTAATGATGTAATGCATGGTGATTAACATAACAATAAAACATTTTAAAAAAAGGTAATTCATGGAGGACAAAAAAGATTGAGTATGTGAGTGGATATGAAGGAGAGAAACAGTGGGTGTGTGAAAGTTTCCTGACCATGATATCTTGTGTCTGCAGGTGTCCATTGTAAGGTGCAGCTGGTGGAGACTGGGGGAGACCTGGTGAAATTTGGGCATCCCTGAGACTCTCTGTGCAGCCTCTGATTCACCTTCAGTGGTAATGCCACGAGCTGGGACTGCCAGGCTCCAGGGAAGGAGTTGCAGTGGGTCTCATTTATTAGCCAAGATGGAAGTAGCACATACTACGCAGACTCTGTGAAGGGCTGATTCACCATCTCCAGAGACAATGGCAAGAACACGCTGTATCTGCAGATGCACAGCCTGAGAACTGAGGACATGGCCGTGTATTACTGTGCAAGAGACACAATGAGGGGACATCATTGTGAGCCCAGACACATTCTTCACTGTAGAATGGGATCTACAGCACCAGGGGGTGCACACTACTCACCAATTCTGTCTTTAAGGCCCACGAACAAATGCAGATATATATTATGAACAGGTTTCCTGTCAGGGCCTGGGGCTTGCTCTACATATAGAGCAGTTTCTGCCAGGGAGCCTCTCTGAACACTTGATTCTGTGCATAGATATTCAGACACTGATTTAGAAACTTTTTTTGTAGACAATCATCTTGTACTATGCACAAAAGACAGATTTGCTTACACTTGCTTACTACTGTCCCTAAATGTCAATAAATTACAAATATCTCTATGTAATTTAACTTTTCCTTTATCAGAGTCCCAGCTGTATGCACTTTGCATCACAGAACCACCCAGCTCAACATGCAAGCTTGTTAGAAGCAGCATAAAGTGCATGCTGGACATGAGGCTACGGAGCCATCAACAATCCACAGCAAGAGAGCAAGGATCCATGGTGGCAGTCACTGTCTTGAAACATGCACACAGCAATGTTAGTGACAGCATGAGAAAGCAGTGAGTCCTCCTTCAGGATGTTGTGTGCATGTGGACTCTGATGACCATGTGCACACACACACACATGAGTGACACACACACACACAGAGTGACACACACACACAGAGTGACACACACACACAGGAGAGTATGAAACCTTTATCACCTTCTTCACCATTGTGTCTATTGAGAACAGGTCAGATCTTTCAGCAAGTCATAACTGCTTGGATAGAACCAGGGAAGGACACTGGCTCAGGGTGTGTGCTGTGGGTCAGTGGTGGGGAGGGGGTCCTGCTCATGGGAGGGACTTGTGTGGAGTCAGTGTCCTACCTGCATCAAAGGAGGGAGGACCCATGGGTTCTTGCTGGATTTCCCACGTGTGAGGCAGGAGGAGAAGAGAGAGGAATGAAGGTCAACAAGCTAGTCAGCAATAATCAAAAGATATCATGTGGTGACAAATTCTACTAAACAATATGAAAACTGCAAGAACAAAAGAAAGAAATAGCCATTCTAAGTAGAAAATGGTACGAATCCTTGAAAAATTAGAAGAATAATCCTTGGAAACCTCACAAGTAAAAAGATACTGATAGAAGTAGACCAAGTTCTACCTGAGTCTGCAGTGGAAGCTGTCCACGCCCCAAGGTCACCAGCTGGTTCTGAAGGTCTTGTGTTTGCTGTGTGCATGCAGAGACCAGAAGCTTCTACTGGGTCCATGAGAATCCTCAGGTTGAGTTGCTGGACGGGAGGAGCCTTCCACCTGCAGGGAATAACTAATTGATCTTTCAGTTGCTAATATCAGGTCAGTGTGTATGACCTCTCCCATCCCCATGTTGAACCTAATGCCAATGTGATGGGAGGAGGTGATGGGGCCTTAGGGAAGCACTTAGGTCAAGAGGGTGCAGCCTCATTACAGGATTAGTGCCCTTATTCACCAGGACTGGGAAAGCTCCCTGTCCGCTGACCCCATGTGAGGTGACAGGGAAAGGACACACTAGGACGTGGGTGCTCTCCAGACACCAAATCTGTCTGCACCTTGACCTGGGATTTTGCAGACTCCAGAACTGTGAGAAACGAGTGTCTGTTGTTTAAAACCACCCAGTCCTTGTACACTATTACAGCAGCTGGAACAGACTAAGATGTTAGTGACACATGAACCCAAGCACTGATGCTCTGGCGTTTCCCTGCTGCATTTGTTGTGAAAAGTACCTGATAAGTCCCTTCAGTGAGGTTCAAGGGTGGATTTCTCACATGTTCCCTCCTATAGATAGGACTAACCAGTTGACTCTCCTAGGGCTCTGTGAAAAGACACAGTGGACACACAAAGGGAGAACCTTGGTACAAGGGATTCAAGGTTTCCTGGAGTTGGTGGAACTTTAATTTAAGGATGTTGTTTTTTCAGTCTTTCAGACAATGTGGATGTGATGACTCTGTGGGATTTGAGTCTGACCATCACCTTATAGAGTTGTGTTGTACTGAAAGCCCTGAGGTTAAGCATCTTTGTTCCCTTGCTCTTTTCAGGATCCTTTCCTTGTCTGTGTTGTATTTTGTGAGTTTGACTATGAAATACCTTGGAGAAAGTGGGCTTTTGTTGAATTTAATGGGTATTGTCTGTACTACTTGGATTTTGATGTTTGTGTCCTTCTGCGTAGTAGGGAAATTTTGGCTATTATTTTATGGAATAAAACTTCTCCCCCTTTTTCTCTCACATCATCTTCTGGGACTCTTATGATATGAATGTTATTATGTTTTCTGTTTTGTTTTTATTTTATTATATTAATCACAACACACTACATCATTAGTTTTTGATGTAGTGTTCCATGATTCATTGTTTTGTGCATAACACCCAGTGCTCCATTCAGTATATGCCCTCTTTAATACCAATCAGCTAACCAATCCCCCCACCCTCCTCCCCTCTAGAACCCTCAGTTTGTTTCTCAGAGTCCATCGTCTCTCATGGTTCATCTCCCCCTCCAATTCCCCCCCCCTTCATTTTTCCCTTCCTGCTATCTTCTTCTTCTTCTTTTTTTATTAACATATAATGTATTATTTGTTTCTGGGGTACAAGTCTGTGATTCAACAGTCTGACACAATTCACAGTGCTCACCATAGCACATACCTTCCCAATGTCTATCACCCAGATACCCCATCCTTCCCACCCCCCACCACTCCAGCAACCCTCAGTTTGTTTCCTGAGATTAAGAATTCCTCCTATCAGTGAGGTCATATGATACATGTCTTTCTCTGATTGACTTATTTCGCTCAGCATAACACTCTCCAGTTCTATCCATGTCATTGCAAATGGCAAGCCCAGGACTCCTGCCCCCACCTCTTCTGCAGAGACCCAGGCCAGAAAAATGACCTTGGACTCCAAGAAGAAACACTTCACACCTCAACAAGCAGCCATGCCCAACTCACTCTTGGTTATTTAAGCTCTTTCACCCAAAGCCATTTTTGGGGGGCAACCTACGGGGCCTCAGGCCTGGAAGTCATACAAGGGTACAAGGGTGAGCCCAGCAGACACGTAATTGGCCACAATCAGCTAACC